ATTCTTCAAATAAAAACTGAAAAGAAAAAAACAAGTCCAGTAGTCTATAATTCTGTTAATAAGGAACAAAGCTACTTTAACAGTCGGGACCCATTAGATATTCAAGAATACATAATATTTTTCAACAGTGGGTCCCGACTGTTAAAGTAGCTTTGTTCCTTATTAACAGAATTATAGACTACTGGACTTGTTTTTTTCTTTTCAGTTTTTATTTGAAGAATAATTAAGCAGTCGGGTTTTTTGATTTTTTAAATTTACCTTTTTTATTTCACACTTTTTAGTTAGTATTTTAAGACGGTATATACCGTAGTCTTTTACTTCAGTAAGGGAATTAATATCGCGGGAATTATTAAGTACCTTGTGTCGGTCTAAAAGATTGATTTATTGAGACATATAAAGACTTTACCAGCGGGGTCAAGGCTACAGATGGGCCTCAATTTTCGCAAAAATGTGTGAAGTTAAATCAAGTCGTTACATAAATATCTCTAATGTATGTAAATTTTATAGTAAACTAGCACTTACTCAAAAAGTCAAAAGATGACATTATGTTTTTTTTAATAGTTTAGCAGTAAATATAAAATTCATTACTTTTATTCGTCGACTATTTAAAATTGGCAGTGGCTGCACTGTCATGTCAATGCCGGACGTCTAAGATTGTGATATACACAAATTTAGTGTCAGTCCCTAGTCTCATAATTTGATATACCTACATAATTCACAGAAACCCAATATGTAGATGCCAGAAGTTAACTTCAAATGTTTTTAATCACCCACAATGACGTTTATGTCGCAGGTTGAAGAAAGAAGTAATTCCCGTCTGTTGTTTTGGACAATGGTGGCAACTGCCTTAGATCACTAAATTAAATAATTATGCAATCACCAAAGCAAAGTTTATAATATTTGATTAAACTAAAGGCGCATATTAAAATTTTCCTAACGTTAGGTAGAGCACCATAGCAATATCATTTATTATCAATTTATAGTTCTCTTTGTAGTTTTCTTTTAAAGCGTTCACATTTAACAGGTCAAAGACTTTGTGTTCGAACCTTTTTTATTGGTAGTCTAAGCTCGAATGAAGAGTACTCCTAGTAGTGCAATCATATCAATTATTTTCCAAATTTTTTTTTGTTATAAAAATACCGAATAACGCATCACTGTTAAGCACAAATGCTAAGTAACTTTTACAAATATAATCAAATAAACCTATTACTTACTTTATTTTTAAATATTTTTCATCAATTAAATACTTATCTTATCCTACACTATCTATACTAATATTATAAAGAGGCAAGATTTGTATGTTTGTAACAAATAATCTGTCAAACTACTGAACCGGTTTTAAATATTAATTCATCATAAGGTGGCTACATTATTTATTATAACATTTTTCTTTATTAAATTCCCATATAGAAGTAGATGGGAACTTGGTTCTTAGCTACAACATCGCGATACTTATAGGCGTAGGGTGACGAAAGGGGTGATTTACCTATAAAAATCTACATTATTTACTTTGAATTTTGCAGAATTATTACAAAACCAATATTATCGCGAGCTGATTAATAAATACAGGGATTCCAATAAGTATGTACTTACTAGCGAAAATGGGTTATTTGTCATTATATTAAGTAAACCTTTTTTGTAACCTTAAGTAATATCGTTAAAATAAATGAAAAACAGTAAAATTCTGAGGTTTTCATTAAAATTCAATAATCATAAATACCTATTATGATAATATATTTTTCATCATTTAATAAGAAGGAACTGTATCACAGTTTTAATATTAGTACTTCGTATAGGATCAGATACTGCGAATACCCCATTTTTTTTTCTTTTACATAGTACACCGCGCTATCACTTTGTCATCGTTGTAACTTTTTAAATATTTGTCGAAATGACATAGTGTAAAAAACAAAGTTTATCGTCTTTAAATATCAAAAGCGATTAAAGTATTTGTTTTGATAAAAAACGATTTGTTAATACAAAATGTGCATTTTGGAAATAGATATCAAATAATATTTTAGTTTTGATTCACTATTTTAGCGGTAATGACTTACACATTAAAAATAGATATATGGTGTCACGGACTTTTTTTAAGAACTATTTAAGAGATACATTTTCACTCTACATTACATTCATGTAACTTTTATTGTTTTTGCAGTGCAGGCCAAAATGGCTCGCAGATGGGACATTTTTTTCCGTCTTATGTGACACTTATTGCTATATATTGGCCAATTCACTCAATAACTACATAAATTATTATATATATGTAATTATCATATATGAGCTATATTACTGTTAAGTTTCATTAAAATCCATTCAGTATTTTTGAGGTGAAAGAGTAACAAAGATCCATACAAACGTAAGATTGAAATTAAAAGCGTAAGTGGTTAATATACAACTTTAAAGCGTTGTAGATCCTAAACAATCATATAAAATGAAAAATGGTGTTAGGAACCTAAATATGATTTTTGATTATCTAGATAGTGATACCCCATTCGACATATTTAGTCAACTTTTTTTTTTTACTTCGTCACGATATGGCGCCTAATTTTGCCCATATTGAATTTTGATTACTATCATATCTTTAGTAGCACTCCCATGGTTGAGACGAATCGATTGATGTAAGAATCATCAAAATCGGTCCAGGCGTTTGGTCTCTAGTGTGCCACAAAGGAACAAACATACATATATAGACTGTTAAACACATAACCCTGTCTGCGCGTCGCGCTTCGCGCTCTTGCATTGCGCAGCCGGGTAAACCCTGTCTGTGCGTCGCGCTTCGCGCTCTTGCATTGCGCAGCCGGGTAAAAAGATAAGGCCGTTTTTGTTGCGCACCTACAAACTTGTACAGAACCTTCGGTGGGCGAGTCCGGCTCCCACTTGTCCAGTTTTTTTTTAATATTACTTTTGTTTCTCTATCAACACACAGCTAAGTGAACTTCGCAATTTTGCGGGTTGTGGTGAGAGGTAGTTTCGTACATAATTCATTGAAAATTACTCACATACCTAGATATATAACGTTGTTAGTAGTGTTGTGTGAATCTTAGGTAGGTACATAAACAGCGTATCCTGTGAAACCTGTCCATGTCAATTTCAAAGGAAAAAGAATAAGTTACTACCTATTTGTTTCTTAGGTTTTCACGCACATCACTCATTAAATAAAACTAGTTTTTACGGGTTAATGCACGAAACTTTATTTATTTATTGACGTTTCGTAGCCTTTACGTCGTCAAATTACGAATCAAAAGCAATTTGATTCTGACGACGTAGCCTGTAAAGGCTACGAAACGTCAATAAATAAATAAAGTTTCGTGCATTAACCCGTAAAAACTAGTTTTATTTAAGTTACTACCTAGTTTTCGATACTACTCGTATGGTTCAGTGTCACCTATAACGGAGTCGTACTTTTTTATGTCATAGAACCTATGGGTAAGTATTTGTAAATTGTTTAAGGTATATCATTGTTCATTTACTGCGCTGCAATAACTTTTCATTGCCTAATTGTCAGATAGAATTTAAAATGCATATTCGCGAGAGGCGAGCTGACCGCGAGCGCGAGGGAGCCGTAGGGTATTATAGATTAGCGGTGTATGGCATGCTCTCATTTCACCGTATCAGATTCCTGTTTATAAATAAGTTCTAAAGTAAGTAGTAGCTGCTTGAAGATATCTAATATTAAATCTAAGTGAAACAATTTTAAAGGTGTGGCCCGCATTAGGTGCTGGTTCCCAAATCTACATACAGAAATGAAATAACTTAATGTCACTTTGATGAATGATAGATATCTCCATATTCCAATTAGGAATTATTATTAGGCATTCCTATTTGAAATTTCTTATTTAACATTCAATTTTGGAAGTATTGATTTCGGTGTTGAAAATACTAATAATTTGGATTAATATATAAGGTCAGTGTTAAATCGTAGATCTCAATTAACTGAATACAGATTGATACAATTAGGTTATGGAGCTAGCATTACCGAAGTTATACTTTCATAGTTATTAATAACACGAACAGTCAGTGAGCAAGTCATTGGGTTAATGGCACGCCCGGATCGCTGCACTACGCAACGAGGTAAAAGCAAAACGCAGCATCGAAGGAATACCTAGACAAATCAAAAAAATCTGCATTCATTCTTTAGATAAGAAACCACGCAGTCTCCTATAAGTCGGTCCTATTCTTTGGAAATCCAAATCACCATCTTTTTTAATTCCTTTTTATTTATTATTCTTAAAATAAACTTATAAATTATTTTACAATTGTTATTAGTGTAACAGAAAGGCTTATTCGTATACTTAGTTAATAAGTAAACATAATATACTGCAGGACACATCTGTCGGCCCACATAGTGTTATTTATAAGTTTCAACGGTCTGTTGCAAAAATATATGCTTATTTAAAAACACACGAAACGATGGTAAATAAATAAGCTTCAAAAATGCGTTGTTAATAAGTTTTGCTCAATGTAAAATTTTTAGCTAGGGGACCGTTAAAACTTAAATCCTGGGTGGGCCGATAGATGTGTCCGGAAGTGTACCTATGCGTACGCCAAAAACTGACAATCAACACAAAGTTAGCTTGTATTTTTATGTGGCCGTAACTTAACTCTTTTACTAAAACACGGTGGTATACTTAATAATGATATTCGGGATTGGACCCGCAATGGCAGAGTTGTGAGTCATGTATAATACTTTATACAGCATGCTCCTATTCTCTAACTGCTTTATTTGTAGAAACAGATTATTACTATTTTGAGTACCTACTAACCTATTAAAAATTAATACAATAAAACTTCAATGACTTAGTGATTTATTAACCTATTAAATTTTGAAAGAAAAAATAATTTCAAACGATCTTTTATATTTTTGGCCATTAATTTTTAAGTTAGAAGGCAGTTCATTTATTAAATTTGGTATCGTATAGTGAAGTCCAAAAAAATCTAACAAAGGATATGACGTGAAATTATTATTATTTATCTATGTAATGTATGTTGTTTTGCAGCAGTGCTGCACTTGATCGGTGAGCCAGATTTTCGCGACGTCCGTCTTCGTTGGGAGTATGGGAAGATTGACGACGACAAGAGTCTGACGCTGTTGGCGTTTCAAGTACACTATTGTGAGCTACAGGCATGGGGGCAATATCGCTGTAGGACAAAGGTAAGTGGCTTTTTTGTGGTTTTTAATCCGTTTTTACCCAAGAAATGCGTTTTAAGTTCCATATTTTTTCATCATTTGCGTGGTGTGTTCGTAATTTGTTTTAATTTGTGCAAATAACTACAGAGTGCCTACATCTGTTGCAAATTTAAATTGGAAGTTTATTGAAGAAAACATAAACGCTATTCCCACTTTTATACACAAATCAGGAGACCAGGTTAATAATAAACGATTGAAGTTGGAACAAACATAGCCACACGCGCAGATTAGAGTAATAAATGAAATAGTGTGAAACAGCTATGGAAACGGGAGATAATAGTTCTGTGTTTACTGGCGGACTGCCTAGCGTGGTGCGTTGACTGTCAACTCTCCAATCTTTAACAGCGGTTACACTTGTTCTATTAATATAGCTCTTATTACCTTGTTCTAAAAGCGTTGTCAGCATCAAATTGTGTTCCGTCAAGTTTACTCATATCATTTCTGCAGTAACATGTGACTACATACTTATACGTGCATCCCGTTGTCATTACAAACATTTAACTTATTATTCTCTGATCAAGATAACATTTCCTTCCGAGCAACTACCGCGTAGGTACCGGTACGTAAGCAGTGTTATTAGGGTTGGATGTAATTAGCTGATAAGAAAAGCGCGCTTCACGTCTGTTTCCGGGATTTTAACTTAAAGTAATTATGTTAAAATTAAATACAAGACTTTTTTAAAACGATAGATCATTTTATTATTTAAGATACTTATTTAGTTTTTTCTGCTGTTTTATCAGTCAGTAGACTAGACGAACTATACTATTTTATTTAACTTTGTTGATCGACAATAAATAAAAAGTAAATGGATAGACACCTAAAGTCTGCTTTTTTAGGTAGTATGGGCCGGCTAAACAATAATAAGTGGTTGTCGGATTGTTATTGAAATTTAACCTTGACCTTGCCGGATTGTTATGTGTTGTTTACTGCTTACAGTATTTGCTTACACTTTTCACAGGTGATTGACGATTTGGAGGTGGATAAGTTTGAGCCGACTAGTACGGCGGCGCCAGTGGTGGCGCAGCCGACTGTTTCTCGCCGCTCACGCACTTACAGCGCGCGCATCACCGGCCTGCGCATGGCCACTACCTACTCCTTTGAAGTACGCCCTGTGCGTAGAGACGCTCGCGACCTCGCAGACCCACAGTCCATCGGATCGAAAATCATCATAGTGCCGACCAAGGGATGTAAGTATTAACCTCCTTCGAGGTATTGTCTTCAGAAAGGAACTCTTTAACATTATTAAATGAGCGCGCGACGAAGCTGGTGTTAGGTATATGAATGCGTCCATAGGAAGACTGATTTTATGTGAATCTTTATAATTAATAAGTTAAACGCTATGCAACTTTTAAATTGTAAACCGACATAAAATGCTCTACATGCCTTGCCAAAACCATGAATTGTACACCTAATACCGATCCCACCTTTGGAATGAGGCCTTATAAAACCATAATAAGATTTATTTATCCTTTCCTTAGTGCAAAAGGGCTTGGTAAACCATACTTATCCGATCCTATAGACACTTACAATGGTCATCGTCACCCCCTATCCAGTACTGCTATGGCAACCTTTTAGTTTTATCCACAGTCTTCTATAGATTATTCGTAACCACCGAGCTAATGACACTGATAATACACTCTATCTATCCAAGCCGTGCGTATAACTTCGAGCAGAAGATCCACTGTGCGCGATTTACAATTTCATTTGAAAAAGGAAGTTTTATTTCAGTTTCGGCTCGCGCTACACAATGTTTGCCGCACGCCAGCGAAGTGGAAGTTTCCACGGGGCCCCATTTCGGCGGGCGGATAGCCGTCGAGGCGGCGGACGGCGGGCCCGAGCGTTGTTCGCTGCAGGGCAATCCCAATAGCGCGCAGGACGCGTATATTCTGCGCATACACCACCAGGAGTGCGGCTCCGAGGTCAACGACACCACCGTCGCCACATACGTCATCGTGCAGGAGAACCTGCCCATACTCACGCATAGCACTCGCCGGTTTGCTTTTCTTTCATTTTTATAATCCCAAAAGTGTCAAAGAAGTTGCAGAGGCGGCGGAGTTGAAACCGGAGTGATACAGTGCGCAGGACGCGTACGTACTACATATACAGCACCAGGAGTGCGGATCCGAATCCAACGACACCATCGTCGCCACATACGTCATCATGCAGGAGAACCTGCCCATACTCATGCACAGCACTCGACTGCTTGTATCTGTTATATAGCCCCGATGGTGACAATCAGGTAAAAGGTGGACCGAAGTGGTGCTCGCTGTAAGGCAACCCCAACAGTGCTCAGGACGAGTACGTACTACACTTACCCAACGAGGAGTGCGGCTCCGAGGACAGCTGTCAATGCCTGAAACTGTCAATACTCACACATAGCACTCGACGGTTTGTATCTGTCATATAGCCCCGAAGGTGACAATCAGGTAGAAAGTGGACCAAGGTGGTGCTCGCTGCAGGGCAATCCCAATAGTGCGCAGGACGCATACATTCTGCGCATACACCACCAGGAGTATGGCTCAGAGATCAATGACACCACCGTCGCCACATACGTCATTGTGCAGAAGAACCTGTTCGTACTCACGCAGAGTACTCGGCCGTCTTATTTTCATTTTTATAAACCCAATAAAGGTGACAGTCGTGGAGGTGGTGGATTTTGGATCGGTGCAAAGCAACGCCTAACCGCATTAGTGTACAGAACGCGTACATGCAGCGTAAGCATGAATTTTGAAATCTCCGTAATTGTATCGTCAACGTCGAATTTGTATGGAAAAAGCTAGCTTGTTCTTATGTCCGATTTTCCGGCCCTCCTTAGTTTTCATAGAGACTTTAACAATGCGATTAAGGAGATGTCATAATTCATGCTTGGTCCTCTGGTGTGCGGAAACAAGGTCAACGGTCACCGTCGCCACATATATCACCGTGCAGGAGAACCTGCCTAATTTACGCTTATACGGTGGTAGTTAATAAGTTAGGTAACTACTCAATTTTGAGACCTAATTTTACTCGAGGGGTAAAAGTTGACACCTTAAAACGCTAGTCAAACTTTGGCAATACGCTTGAGCGCTGGGTTATATCTTCATCATTCTATAGTGTTTCCCTTGCTGGGGCCTTCCCTATGGGAGGAAGAGGCGTGATTGGACCATGCCCTCTACGCGAGCCCAGAGCTAAATAATTGTACGACGGCTCTGTGATTGCGTCGGAGGTCAATCCCAATACTCGTTTCCAATTTAATGTTTTATAACATTTAATACTTACCTATTTACGTAACAGAGGACCTAGGAGAGCTTCCAGGGATAATTAATATCGTTTTATTCACTCTAGGTTTTTGGTGCTCTGCACTTACAAACCCGAGACGCTGACTGTGAGGGCGGGCATCAACCTGCCTAAAGCCAACCCAGGCGACGTCCTTCACCATATGCGGCCTGTTGGTTCCGTGGAGCCCTACGACAACCAAGACCTAGACTACAACGAACTGCAGCCGGCCAGGTTGGAGGCGCGCAAAGAGGAAACCCAGCAAAGTTTGTATTGTATTATCAAATAACTGATAGACCGACCCAAGACTTCATTAACTTGATAGTTACACTTTTTCGCTTTCAGCCATCCCGTTATTTCTTTTCTCATGTCGCATTGCAACTTTACTAAAGATGTACCTTTGTAGACAATTAGACCCCCATCCTGATCCTTCAGAAGCTGTGTTTAGTTGAATGTATTATAGAAATCGCATTGAAACCAGAAATACGCTGGTATTAAAAGAATCTCACAAATGATTTTGGTTCCATTTGAATATTTGATGAAATTTAATGATTCTAACATTTCCTTTCAGGTGTTTTTGGCGAAATAATGTTGGTGATGTTCTTGGTAGTCGCCGCATTCGGCGGCATTGCCCTACTGATCTGGAAGATGGTCCCGCAAGCGGATAAAGACAATATCTCTATAGCGACCATGTCCTCTCTGTCTCGTAGCAGCATATTCAGTCGGCGAAACAGAGACAGATTCTCTGACCAAAGCTCCGTCTATTCCATAACTTTGTCTGAGAAGGATGACCCTATTAAGAAACCGAACGAGGGCGATAACACTTCGGAAGCGTGAATGTGCGTTAGACTAGCGAAGTATTTTAATGCTACGGTTTTACCTAGGTGCACACAATAATGCACATGTGGTCACGTGGATTAAATAAAATCCGATGTCTTTTGACAATTGGCGATAGCTGACAGTTTTACAGCTTATTAAAAAAGAGGTACATATTCACCAGTGGTGTGCACATAGCTTCCCGCCAAAGGGTGTTAGACCGCTAGCTTTATGAAAGCTAAAGATAAATTGTACTTTAAGTCAAGAAATACTCTAAAATTTAAGGAGACAAAAACATCAGAATTGATTATACCGAAACAACCTTTTAGGAGTTTTTTTAAGTTTGCTTTAGCACTACAGGGTTAGGTCTTAATTGATAGTACCTATTTCATTTATATGATACATATAATATATGCATACGTATTTAGTAATGTAATTTGCTTTGAGAATAATATATTTTCTGTCTTTCTCATAATTATTACCTACACCATGCTAGCGTAGCGGCAGGCTCGGACGCACCACATGCTGATGCTCAAATCTTGCCGTTTAACGCTTAATTAACAATAAAATAGTTGATTAGGAACGAGTATGTTTACGAAGATGACTTTGTTTTTAAGTTCTCTCATATCATTTATCTGGTATGGGGCACAGACCTTCCATGTGAATGGAATAGAGGATAGGCCAGTAGCCATGTCCCACCAAACGGACCTAATGCGGATTGGTAGATGGTGGATGCTAAAGTAACGACTTGATTACAGCAGCCGGGATCAACGACTCAACTGCCATCCGAAGCACCATGGATCTCTAGTTTAAGTTTCTTAAAATACCTTATTGCAGACTGCACTCTGCGAAGTCAACTTTTAAGTTTGACTTAAGATGTTGCTGTCATTTTCTATGCGATAACAATACAATGACATAGCACATGACTTAATGAAGCGTTAAATTAAGCTGATGTTTCTGAGTACGGCTGTAAGCCAGTTAAACATTGCGCCATTGATCTCTTTCTACCTTACATAAACTAAATAAACTTATCAAGGGTTTGCTACGCAGTGTTTCACGTGTCTATGGGACACACGCCACTGGTAAATAAAGGACCTCAATCTGTTCCCTTATCATTAACAAAATAACGAGCAAGAGTCAAATTTGACCAATACATGTGGCCAGTACTTTTTTTGCACTTAACACAATTAATAATGCTATGATTGCCATACAAAATGTAGCAAGTGATTAGGTTAGTGTGATTGTACTTATAAAAAATGTACTTAATACACATATTATGTGGTAAATAATTCAACCCATACCAAAATTAAGTTATGTACATATTTTATAAGTAAGGATTTATTTATTTTTAATTGAATAATCAACATTGTTGTAAGAGTGAATAAAAATATCAATTGACTGTGTATTTTATTTAAATATATCATCTGGCTTATTCATAACATATAGTTGTTTCTCCATTTTAAGTTCGGGAAATAGAAATTGATTAACAATATCATTTAGTTCCTCTAGCGCTATTTGAGCATGGAGTCTTAAAACTGAATCTTCATTATCGTCGCTATACAGCTTCTTCATAGTCCTATAAATAGGGAGTAAATTTTCTTTTAACTCGTTCAAAACATCTTTGCCAAGGCCTTTCAGTAAGCTTGATATAACTAGAACTGCAGCTCTTCTGCATTCTATTGCTTTATCAGTTTCTAAAATGCTCCAAACACAATGTAAAACCTAAAATAAAAAAAAGTCTCAGTAAAAGTAATCGAAAATTGTTCAACATCAATCAGAGTGACTCCCGTGTATTGTCTGCGGTTTGATTGCGGTGACTAGCGTAAATTCGATGGTGATGTATGAACTCAAATTATGATATTAGAACGTTTAAATTAAACAAAATGCGAAGGTTTGGTACTTCAAAAACAGTGTATGGGATGAAACGTACTGGCGAATGCGCACCAAATAGTCTTTGTTAAAAAGTCAAAGTTTCAAATAACAAAATGTAGGTAAACAGAAGTGACAAATAAACTCAAAGTCACTTGAATATAAATCTCCAAAGATTTTTGCTAGATTAAATAAAGTAAAAGGAATTTTATTTACCTCGTAAATAATTGTACCCATTTTGTAATGTAGTACTAGGGCTATTTCAGCCAAGTTTGATAAAGCTGAAGTTCTTATGAGTGGATCTTCATCTCTGCACCCACAAAGCATAGTATTTAACAGAATGGTTTTGTGGACTATAGCCATTTCACCTAGAAATAAAGTTTCAGAAAATTAATTAAATACATAACTGGGCGGCAGCTATCCCTCACACGTAAAAAAGGCACCCAGTGTTGTGTTACGAAAAAAATTGACGGAATTCAAAAAGCACAGGACTATTGAGTGTAGAGATTTACAGAGCACCCTCACTAGTATAGATGTAGAGGAGAAGTATAGATGTTTGTTTAAAAGCTAAATCGACAATTCGTTGTTCGTTGATAGCAGACTTATTTGTGACGTTACATGGTCGGATGACAAATTAGGTGCAAACATAATTGGTCATTGCATCTGCCTGGAGTGTGTGGAATTTTATCTAGTATTTTTTTTAGTTTTGAACGTCTAGCAGGATAATGCTTCAATTATAAAAATATAATAGGTGCAGTATCGCGACCTTTGGGGGAGTGTCACAAGCTTTAATTATGTATCTGCTTGGCACAATGGGCATTCATTTATTACGAAAGACTATTTTCTCTACTTTTTGATCCCCTTCTCCCTTTTTAACACGCTTTTATTTGGTCCACTTGTAAAATAACTAACTATGTTACGAAACCTAAAAATCTGAATTACACGCACTTCTAATTCTTGTATTATCATGACACTTGTTTTAATTTTTATTTCATAAGAATCTAAAGGAAAAAATTACACGTTTGGTTTTTTTTTCAAAGTAACAATTTTCAGAAATGTTTTGCTAGTAATAAACTTTCGTTTTAATCATTCATCTTTAACTTTTAGTACTCTTGCGGGTGACGCGGGTACGTTGCCATGGAAACGGAAATCGCGAACCTTGGCACTCGCGCCGCGGTTGCTCGCGCTTTTTCAAAGTATACATTTTAACTTTGCGCATTTTTGTGATCTTACGTAAGACCTATCGATCGACTCCCTCCCACCCCCCTGTAACAAAAAATAAGACATGGTCAACCCCCTCCCCCCTAAATCGTCTTACGTAATAAATGAATGGCCCTTTGTTTGCGGTTTCTAGAGGGGGGTGCTCTGGGGAAGATCTCAGGAGGCCCTTGTGTGGCCCAGCTGTGGACATCCATTGGCTGATGATGAACATCTTGTTCACAATTTTAATGAAGCTAGCATCAGGGGTAGTATAGTAAAGTCAATTTTTTTTTTCAAATTTGATGCATAATACAACTCTTTTGAATCATCCATATTTTTTATTATAGAAAGTTATAATTTTTAATTGTTTAAAGCATCATCATCAAGCATCTAAAGAAAATATAACTAATTTTTTTTTTTCTAGTTACAGAAAGTTTCTAGTTTGAGCTCAAATTGTTTGCTGCTACATATAATATAAAATAATGTTTTTTCTCACCAAGTTTCTTTGTAACCTTTACAATAACATCTCCAATTTTCATTCTTAACTCAGAAATTCTATTTTCTGCATCTTTTGCGTGAATATTTCCTAAGTCAGTGTTAACTTGCAAAAATTCTTTGCACAGAACATGTAACACATCCTCTGTACAATGGCTTCCAAGAGCGGCAATACCATTTATAGCCGACAAGTAAATATATGAATCTCTGTCCTTCAGTTGTTCCTTAAAATTATAATTAATTGTTAAAATATGCATTATTTCAGTTTATTGTGTAAAACATGAATTTATCAAGAACAATTTATTAAAGCTTTTAATAGGTCTATTTTAAAAAAGTTTTATTTTCTTTTTTAGTTTTCTATTAATAAATATACCTAAATGAACTTTAGAATTTGTCAGAGGAAACATACATTTTTGAGTTTGGAATAAAATATAATATGAATAGATCAATGTGAATGAATTTGTTATGAGTTACCAACCTGGTATAGACAAAATAAATAATGTTTCTTTGATATTGTCTCCACATCTTTCATCTCAACAAGTTTAGTTAATGCTATTAATCCATGAGCTCTTACTGGCAATAAATCATCAAAAGCATCAGATAAGGCTTTTGCATATTCTGTTTCGGATTGCACATGTTTGTCTGAAGTAATTAATTTCAAACTTTCTTTGCATAATAAACCAATGACAGTATTGTCATCCTTCGACATTGATTTCAATACTGGTATTAATTTTGTAAATGTTTTACCTGTATCATTAACATTTTTAGAATTAGACAGAATCGTGTTTAATAACACCAAAGCGATTGTCACACACTCTTCATCATCACCAATCTTCGGTTTCAAAATAAAGTGTTCAATAAATTTTAGGACTGGCAAAGGGCTCTGTTTAAGGATTGAAACAATTTTAGGTAAGGTTGATAATTCAGAAAGTAATTGCAGAATGATAACATATTGTTCATGCATATTGTTGAATGAAATAAAATCATCTTTTTCTGCTGTTAAACAGGACTGTCTAGATGTAAAGTTTCTCCTTTGTTCATTGAGATCAACAATCATTTCTAAAGAGATTTCAAAAACATATTGTATAAAATGAGTTACAGTTGAGGTTTTTAAAATAGATAAAAAATATGTAAGAGCTTCTTCTTTATTATATGTTACAGGCGTTGAGACATACTTAATTGTCAAACCTGAATTATATTCTTCAACTTGGAGATGGTTGATTGCATCACAGGCTTTACCAAATAAAAATACTTTCATTAAGTTTGTCATCTCATTCTTCTGTAACTGGTGTAAGCATTTCAGTAGTATATTATTAATTTTCATTTTCAAACCTTCACTCTTTGTGCATTTGAATCCAAGCATAAATAATAAATACAAATTGGGTAGTAATAGTTTATAAGGACAATTAAGATTAGTGATGTCCATACAAGCACACAAAATGTTTACTTTGTGATCAACTTCTTGTGTAGTGACAGCTATAGTTCCAGGTAAGTTGGAAGATGTAATTAGGTAGTCATAGTCAAATGCTTGAAATATGTTCCTCATCATTATTTTAACTGGTTCCATTTGGGGGTATTTTTCATTTAAACTAAGAACACATGCAATAGCTGTTGCTAAATAATGTGTATTATTTAAGGACAGTATTTGTGTAATTTGGGAACAAATTATATTCAGATAAAAAACATCAGAATTAGTGCCATGTTTTACTGCAACTATTTTCCCAATCATTTCAATTTTTTTCCAATCTAAGCCTATATCAGCATTGTAGCTTTCCATAAAACATCTCATTAAACTTAATAAGCCACCAGGAGCAAGGAGTCTCCTACTCATCTCTTTTGAAATGACTCTTTTAACAAATGCAGGTGGTGATGGATCAGTCACACCTTGTAGTACCAATAGCTCTTTCATTAGAGTTGGTTGAAAACAATTGACAACTAAATGTTCATATATAAGAGTATACTTTTCCCTATCTTCAGTGAGTTTATCATACAAATCTGGAGTCATGATGAAGTTGCTATATGAGCCTGGTTTCTTGAGAGGGGCAAATGCCAGTTGAATTAATGCAGCTATATAGTCTGATAAATGTAATGTTATGATTATTTTTTTCAAAACTGGGATAGTATAGCTTCTAGTTAAGAAATCTGTACATTCAACCAGCATTTCATATTTTTGCATGTCATAAAGATCTAGCGTCGGCAAAAGCGTAGCCGATAGACATCTCTTTGATAAATTAACACCTAAACCTGGAATTAAGCACTGTGATGTGCCTAAAGATATAATTAATTGGTAACATCCCTGTAGAAGTTTCTGATTTTTAACACTTACTAAAATTGTCTCGTCAGCTTTTAAAATATTTGATAAATCATCTATTTGTTTGATAATATTTCTTAGAAACGAAATTTGCAATTGGAAAGTATTATAAGACAATTGCTGGTAGTTTTCATTGCCATTTTCGTGATTACTTATAAGTAATGATTTAAGGAATTGCCTCTGACCATCTGAAAATCAAGAAATGTAAAATGACACTATTTTCAATCAGGTTGTGCTCAAAATACTAATCTGTAAAAAACCCTACTTAACCCGACCTACCTTCATGTGTTAAATTTTCTATCTTTTCAAATAAGTGATTCATCGCAAGAATTGTTTTCATATAATATTATTTATCACACATTATATAGCATATAACAAAATAAAGACAGAATACAGAGAGAATATTCTGAATATTAGAGAAAATAAACATTAATAAACATCAAAACATGTTTCTTCTTCTTTTTCCTTTTTTTATGGCATGCACGGTTTGTGCGTTCAGCCAATGTCAAGTATTAAAACATGTTTAATCTGTCACTGGTGTCGATTCTGGCGTGATTCTCTAAACTTAAAACTAAATTTAACATCAATCTCTCCTTTTCATTCCATAAAGAGAATGACAAGGATACACTGTTGTCAAATTTAAGTTTAGGTTTAGAGAATCGTGTCAGAATTGACACCATTGTCATTGTAAGTTTTTTTAATTTTATGACCTGGTAACAAAGACCTTTAGGTCATAACTGTCATTGTCATTTTCAGTGTAAGGGTGCGGCCAGAGTGCACTCAGATTCAGATTCAGATTCAGATTCAGATTCTGAAAACAAGCGCGAGAAATAAACAGTGTAGTCTAAGCAGGTTGCCTGCTTTTTCTCGCGCTTTGTTTTCTGAGTCTGAATCTGAATCTGAATCAGGAGTGCAATCTGGCCGTACCCTTCGACTACACTGTTTATTTCTCGCGCTTGTTTTCGAAATCTGAATCTGAATCTGAAACTGAGTGCACTCTGGCCGCACCCTAACCCACAATAGCTAATATTTTATGTTGCTCTGAGTGCTTAAACCTATGGAGATGCCATAGTATTTTTATGAACAATCTGATATACAGATATGATTGATATCGACATATTCGACATTGTACTCATAAACTTGTAGCCATCTCATTTTAAATAACCGACAATACTCCACTCGAAAATAAATAATTTGCCTGAACTAAAAACGGCAACATTATAAAGTGACCTCGTTGAAATGCCTATTTGTGGCCGGTCGGCATTTTGAGTTACTACTGTGACCAGGTACATAGGTTGTCAACGTCTGTTGTATTAGCTAGCAGTGTTTTGTGCCAAAAGTGTTTTAATATGTGACTTTATTGTTTTTAATTCTATGAGCTTATACAAATAGAAATCCCGCTCACTAGCCGAACAAAATTTACCACCACTTTTAGTGGGGGACGAGGTACACACTTATAGTACAGCAGAGACGGCCAACTCTAGGCACAGTGAGACATTGAGAACAGAGGCCCTTAAATTATTAAAGCAACAAAGTCAAAATCTAGAAATGAAAAATGAATCGATCTATAATGAATTATTCAATTCTCACATCCTACTTTTTGCTTTCATTTGGTCAGTCACGTTATGGCAATTGGTAACGTCATGGTAACGTTACAAAAAAAATGTACCGGACCGTGACTGACAGTGGTGTCGATTCTGGCACGATTCTCTAAATCTAAACTTAAAATTGACAAACACACAGTCAAATGAATACTTTTACAAGTATTAAACATTTGAAAGATTTTGAGACCAAAAAAGGCATTGTTTACATTGCACATTTTTAGGTTAGATTGACATTGTAAATAGGTAATATTGTAGTACGACCATTTCTTTTGATACGTTATTAAGGTTCAACTCAGTCAGGTTTTCTACCAATATTTGAATTAATTGCTTCGTGTCAATAAGTTATTGTTTCTATTCCGTTACATATTTTATTGCCTTTTTTCAGAAAAATCAGAGAATCGGATAGTCAACGAAGGTTTTAAGAATGATGGAAAGTTTGAACCTCCTGGGAAAACAGGCAAGGCTGACCAAAGAAAGAAATGGTCACATAAAGAACCATGGCCAGATGCTTTTAGTGAAGATATCAATCACTAATTTTACTAACTGCACATTTACAAATTGTTTCTCTGAATAAACTTTTTATATACTATAAAATGATTTTTAGTATTATTATCTTAACAAGTGTGTTAAAAAACGTCGTTTAATGATACTTGTGTGTATTGATGATTACCTAACGGCTCCGGTCTCAATGGCACCTCAGTGGTAATCACCAACATTACACACTTTTACACTATAAAGTACTATTTTATATAGAATAATTATATTCTGATTCAATTAAATATGCTTGACTAAACTTTTTATAAGCATAGGTACCTACTATATAAAACAGAAACAAAATACGACTGTATAGTGTGTCTTATTAATTACCTATTTTACTTGAATGAACTGCTAGTATCAAAATTATTTTGGTCCGACTGTACAGGGTTGCTACATGCATACTAGTGGCGCCATCATTTAATGTCACGACTTTATACACAAACTATGTACAATGCCTTTTTTGGTCTCAAAATCGTGAATTGAGTAAATTTGTAACTTCAGGCAGATTACAAACAAATAGTTACACGATTACATACCCGTCATAGATGCTGTTCGTCCATAAACATCATCCAAATCCCACAAAATTCGTCCAGCTTGGTAGTGTTCGAAACATCGCTGGAAAACTTTAAAAATCACTTCCCGCGTGCCACTCCGATTTACTTTACTCATTTTTATACCTTTCTGCGTAGTTTCGTCTTAATTTATTACAGTTTAACCATACAATAAAAAATACAAAAGGAAAACTGTTCCACAACTGAAACTCGATGACAGCTGATGTATATAAGTTTGGTGTTGCCAGACACATGAATAATGTTAGTTCCTCAAACATTCATGTCACGACTTTATAGACAAACTGTATCCTTGTTATTCTCTTTATAGAATTAAAAGGAGAGACTGATGTTAAATTTTGTTTTAAGTTTAGAGAATCACGCCAGAATCGATACCAGTGACTGAATGAAAGTAAAAATGTAGGCATGGACAAACATAGCAAAATTCTTCGTATAGAATAGATGTATATAGGTATTTCATTTAGTCAAGTGTGAAACAAAACTGTTTTTGGCTGTGTGAAATTAGTTTAGTTTGCTTTTATATGGTAAAATATTAAGAATAAAAAACTGAATATCAGAACTGCAGGCCGGATTTTCTGTGCATATTTGATTTGCTGAAATAGCAATAGATCAAGAATTTTGTCGGAATTACCGTAATAATTGGTTACATATTATCCAAAATAATTCAGTTTTAATATTCATCGCCATGTTGATTAAAGTAAAGGTAAGTAAGTAATAGTGCCTACTTGTACAAAAGTTTTGTCATCCTAACCTCATGCTGATATTTATACTTTTTTATATTCACAGACTCTAACTGGAAAGGAAATTGAAATAGACATAGAACCGACTGATAAGGTGGAAAGGATTAAAGAGAGAGTGGAAGAAAAAGAAGGCATACCTCCACAGCAACAACGATTGATATTTTCGGGAAAACAAATGTAAATGATTGCTGATATCTGATAATTTTGTCACACAGCTGAGTCACAAGTACTCTATTTATTTAAAAAATAAACGATATTAACAATCGCACACTTATTAGTTTTAAAAATAACAGTTTGCCCGAAATATGCAGTGATTTTAGATATTTTTCTTAAGTAGTAGGCAGGCATGTGTTTTATATTTATTTAGAGGAATTCCAAGGATCCCACTTAGATCTATCAATCATAATTAGGTTGGAGCTTATTATGATGCTTCACATAATCTGGACTTTGTAATTTTATGAAAAGCTAGTCTAATATAGGTATTTTGTTTATTTTCAGGAATGATGAAAAGACTGCACAAGACTACAAAGTACAAGGAGGTTCAGTTCTTCATTTAGTGTTAGCGTTGAGAGGAGGAGAATGATCTGTCATGTGATAATTTGCTTTTAATATTTATAACTTATTATATGTTTCTTAATTGTATAAAGTTGGCATGACATCAACAACCTAATAATGCCTTTTAATTAGCATTTGTAGAATTACTTAATCATGAACCTTACTAGACATATTCTCATATTTTTATAATATAAATCACTAAGACACTGAAAAGGTGCACAAGGACTAAATTAAAATAAAATTTACTAATTACAAGTTTCTTTGTCCTATAAATAAGTACTCCAGGTGCTCATAGATATGAAGTTATGATTTACTTTAACGTTACGAGGAGAAATGGTGACCAATTCTGGAAAAAAAAAAACTGTCAATATGGAAAGGAAATTATAAGTAGTTATTTGAAGTATGTGATCACTAAATATGAGACACGGTAAACACTATTTCTTGAATGTTGCCCAGCTGAGTTGGATTTCTCAAAATTGGACTTATCCTATTTGTCTCAGATATAAATCTGTAGCCTAGTGCTAAAAGGGCCAAAGTCTGTTTTTGTGTTAAATCAAATTGTAATGCTAGTTTATTGAAAAAGTATATTTTTTTATGCAAAGGTTGTTGATATATTAAGGCAAAGAAAGGGCCTTATGTTTTTGAACTACTTTTGCACACTGCAACAAAAACATACTATGGTCCTTTTAGCAACTTTTGTACACTGCAACAAAAACATACTTTGGCCCTTTTTGGCAACTTTTTTACACTACAACAAAGACTTACTTTAGCCCTTTTAGCAACTTTTGTACACTGCAACAAAAACATACTTTGGCCCTTTAGCAGTAGGCCACAGAAATATTTGTCAACAATTTGGATTGCAAAGATCTCAAAGATTACCGGAACAGGAGTTTAGACATAATATTTGTCTTACTCATGTTAATTTTAAGGCCCACCTGTTGAGAGGCTCTGCTGAGGTCTGTGAGCATTGTGTTGAGATATTTCAAAGAGCATGCAATAACGCAGCAGCATTTACACTGCTAGATGTTTAAATCTAAAGATTTTTTTATGCCTGGATAGGAGAACATGTTGGTTCAAATCCCATCTGGAACCTGGACCGAGTAAATTTTTCGAAAAAACTGGTCATAAACTATTATTCTTTTTATAGGAAAAGAAATTGCGATTTGACAGACTTAAGTATAAAAATACATAATAAAACATACTATTCGTTAGGTAAAGTGGGTGAAGGACGATCGCTGCAAAGTTTGGGTTCTTTGGATTGTTATAAAATTGCGAAATATGTGTGTTTACTTTTTCAGTATAAAGAGAAAGAGTTAATTCTTTCGAAGTTGCATAAGTCAAGCAACTTCCTTAATGTTTATTTCATAGAAACCCTCTACGAAGTATTGACACGGCGAAATCTGTGAGGTCGTTCTTAGTTAAAAATTTTTTTGTAGTGAAGAAGAGCTGTTTTCCAAGTTTGCAAAAGTTGCCTTTCTTCAAACGTAACTCAAAAACTATGAAAGATATGCAGAATTTTGAAGAGTTAAAAAATGTAGGTTTTTAGAGTTCCATAGCCAAACGGCAAAAACCGGAACCCTTATGGATTCGTCATGTCTGTCTGTCTGTCTTTCGTCCGTTTGTCATATGCACTTTTTTCCGAAACTATAAGAACTGTACTGTTGAGACTTGGTCAGTAGATGTATTCTGTGAACCGCATTAAGATTTTCACACAATATTTTTTTTCATCAACCCCATATTGCGGGGTGTCTATGGATAGGTCTTAAAAAATGGTATTGAGGTTTCTAATACCATTTTTTCTAAACTGAATAGTTTGCGCTAGAGACACTTCCAAAGTGGTAAAATGCCCCCCCTCTGTAACTTCAAAAATAAGAGAATAATAAAACTTAAAAAAATGTACATTACCATGCAAACTTCCACCGAAAATTGGTTTGAACGTGATCTAGTTAGTAGTTTTTTTTAATACGTCATAAATCGTTAACCACAATTTACCTTTTATTCAATCAACTCAAATATAAAAATAATATTTAATTTCATAAACATAAACCTTATGCATGAACCGTAAACCATAATGTTTCCTTATCAATAACTTAATTTAAATAATACACTATTATTAGTTACAGCGAACTACAAGAACTTTTATATTATGTTCATTGCTGCTACGGAACTCTTCATGGGCGAGTCCGACTCGCACTTGGCCGCTTTTTACCTGACTCGCAATGCAAGAGCGCGAAGCGCGACGTGCAGACAGGGTATAGTGTTTAACAGTCTATATATGTATGTATGTTCCTTTGTGGCACACTAGAGACCAAACGCGTAGAACGATTTTGATGATTTATACGTCAATCGCTTCGTCTTAGAAATCGAATTTCAACGCGGCCATCAGGGCCGCGGTAGCATAATTGGTCAGTGCATTCGCCCGGATAGCGAAGGGTGCGGGTTCGAGTCCCGTGTGGTGCCTGGTACGCGTGGAATTTTTTCTAGTTATATTTTATTTAGATTTATACATCAAGCAGTTACTTACATGCTTAAAAAATAAAAATTATAGCTATAATTGCTATTTCTTCTTTCAAATGTTAATACTAGTAAAAGTATTCATTTCACATTGTGGGTTACCTACAATGCGAAGAGATGGCGCTGCCTTGCAGCATAAGGGTACGGCCAGAGTGCACTCAGATTCAGATTCAGATCCCGAAAACAAGCGCGAGAAATAAACAGTGTAGTAGACTACAGGTTGCCTGCTTTTTCTCGCGCTTGTTTTCTGAGTCTGAATCTGAATCTGAATCAGGAGTGCACTCTGGCCGTACCCTTCGTATGGGTACGGTCACAGTGCACGCAGATTCAGAATCAGATTCAGACTCAGAAAACAAGGGCGAGAAAGAAAGCAGGTTGCCTGCTGCCACTATGGCCACCCTGCTTAAACTACACTGTTTATTGGAGTTTACTCCTTAAGAATCGATTTGAATATATAAGGGGCCCGGTATGAGAAAAATGTGAGGAGTAAAATCTATCGATGAATGACCTCGTTACGTTTTTGGTGCGCATCCTATGTCGCGCAACTTTGACAAACAAAGATGACGGATTGACATTAATAACCATAAACCACTTGTAACTGTAATTAATAATGCAGACAATGTTGATTTAATTAATATTTAAAAAAATGATAATAGTCTGATAATAATAATTACATAATTTATCAACATTCCTAATGATATATTTATGCACATCTGAAATTGACTATTGTAAAAAGTTTAATATAAAATATTTCGTCGATTAGTTATAATAAATGTATATGAAATGAATAAATATATATTTATATATGTATATTATTTTCATTAATTTGTTAATTTACTCTTTCATACAGTATCAATCTTTTTTAAGTTAAATAAACTCTTTTTGCGTCTGGTTAGACTATCGAACTTAAGGAGTAAACTCCAGTTGTGCGTCGGAGCTGACACACACAATTTTTTCTCGCGCTTGTTTTCTGAGTCTGAATCTGATTCTGAACCTGCGTAGGTACACTGGCCGTACCCTATAGCTAGAGGAATTTCGACGCGGCCATCAGGGCCGCGGTAGCATAATTGGTCAGTGCATTCGCCTGGATAGCGAAGGTTGCGGGTTCGAGTCCCGTCTGCTGCCTGTTATATTTTATTTAATTTAAAGTTATTCAGGAAATTATTACGCCGCTGCAGTTTCTTGCAAGGGTGCATAAAACAACGGAACGTGTAAATAAGGAAGTGCCAACAATGGTTAGTTAAGTATATAACATTAGATGATGTTAAATTTAATTGGCATTATGTCAAAGTGGATTTTTTATTGTTATATTTTCTGTTGATTACTTTAACAGTATGTTTCGACATTACGCAATTATGTTTTAGCAATTTGTTGTTTTGACATCTGGCTATTATGACGACTGGATATTTTATCAATAATCTAGTTGACCCTTTTTGGAAAAAGGTTTTGAATGGTCAATAAATGTTCTATTAGACCGAAAAAAATGTATTGTATTTTTTGAGACCTACAAATTTTTAATTTTAAAATAGACTTTTCATGGACATACAAAAACGCACGGGTTTAGTGCAAAAAATTTACCAACCATCAATGCGTCAATTCTTGGCAGATTTGTGCTTTCTGCTTTAACAAAGCCGGCATCCATATTTAGTTTTGTCAAAAAAAAACAGTAAACGGAAACTTTTCTAAAGTTAAAAGTGTTTTAAGATAAATATAGTCAGACGAAAGAATCCACCCACAGTAACACGCGAATGACATTTAGTTGTTTACTACAAGACACGTCACAATCATGGCGGATGTGGCGAACAGCGTTTTTAGTATTTAAATAATGTAGACTAAAAATATTTTTTAAAATTACATTTCTACAGCAATCTTCTGCTTTTATGAAGTGAAAGAAAGGGACATTTTTTAATACAATTCGACATGAGTCAACTAAGAGGTCAACTAGCCTATTGGATGTTTTGATAACTGGATTTTATGACGATTAGACTTTTTAACTATTTGTTGTTTTGACACCTGGATGTTATGACAACTGGGCATTTAACAATTGGGCATTTTTTCCTTGTCATTTTGACACACTTGACATTCTGGCACTTGGCTCGACTAATGTCGAGGCTTCTCCGAGGATTACCTCGGAGAAGCCTCGGAGGGGTAAATTTTTTGGGAAGGAAAATCCCATTTTGTAAGTACTTTTAAAGCTATTCGATAAGACTACTGGTTTCGACTGTTCCCAGTAGCGAAGATGGCCAGGTAAGTTCTCATATTATTATTACCCCAAGTAGTCATCTCGAAAATGATTCTAAAACAATCTCGATGTGTAATTTGCTGAGTGGCCGTTACGGCCTTCCGAATTTTTACAATGTGCTAAGGTAAAGTATGTACGGCGTGATGTGTAATAAAGATACATTTAATATTTAAAGTTAGTAGGATAGGATAAGCACTAAAACAGGGAGAGGACACATAAACCATATGTTTTGAGCACGTAATTTATTACATCCATAATAACGTTGTACATATAATCCACTTATAATACATATCTAGCACTGAATGAATTTACAAAAAAATAAACATCTTTGGTTCACCAAACGAATCAACAACATCAATGTCTCAAAGTTCGTATCATTAAATTTACTTTAGTTATAAGTTTTTCTATATTTTAATTTTTATAAATTTATAATACCACAAGCCTTTCATTTCACGTTTTAAGTTTTTTCTATTACTAATTTTGAGCATTTATCTACTCACGTGGAAATAATATACATTGCAGTAGGTAAGTAAATACTCATTTATCTATAATATGTAGTAATTTGATTACGATTTGTTTCAATAAAAGCATGCAATGCATGAATCGTAGATTAAATTTTTAAATATAAAAGGGAAAGATAAAACATATTTGAGATGGTTTTACAATAAGTATAATAATTGTTTTGGTGGTGTTTTAAAATACTACTAAAATTACTTATGATATCAAAAATTATTAAATGACTTTGGGACGGAAACATTTCAATCGTGTAATTACAAGCTTGGAAAAAAGGAGCCTTGTTAAATAAAAAATATCTAAAATACTTTTGTGGGCTGATAGACGTTCTTCTATAATAAGTAATACCTAAGTACTTAGTAATAAATCATAATAAACAGCGACGATACAAACTATACATAAAATGGAGATAACAATATGAGATTTATGATATAACTATAAAATATGTACATTTACATAAAAATGGAAAGATTCTGAGCTTTTATAATTATAACTAGGTATAAAGTTTTCTAAAACATAGGTACTTGTTGAGCATTCATAGATCTTTTGGCACACAAGTTGCATGATTTATAGGAATCTGTGAAGACGACATCTGTATAGTCACTACTATAATTATTTTATGAAATTCGAGGTTGGAATAATTTGCTTTCATAGCATCAAGATGGCATCATGATTCCAATGAATACTATTTTGGTAAGCATTTTAGTAGAGAGCAATAAGATTAATATCTTTTGGTGGAACTGGGTAGTTATGTAACCACATTTTTTTTGTATCCTCTACCATTGCCACGCCCCAATGAACAGAAAATATATTACACACGAAGTTCGTATTCTACTACATATTGACGACAATTGCTTACTGGTTCTTTCAACACATTTCGGAATCGAGGTCCGTCCGAGTTGTAGAATCACGATGTTTGCGCCAATGTCTTTGCGATTGAGACCTACCGCGAAGATGCGATTTCCCCCGCGGGGATGTCCTCCCTTAGTAAAAACTCATTAGTTTTTCACTTTTCACATCACATGTCCCTTATAGATCTTGGCGCCCTAAGAGCTGGTGTTCCTGTTAAGGCTAACTGATGACACCAAATAAGCAATTGTCGACCAAAACTAGTAGTGTTCTAATATCTTCGAAAGTATTTATATATCATTTTCTCTAAATAGGTACCTAATATAAATAACACTCGGTTAATCACTTCATCACTCTTTTGTGCATTAATTTTTACGACTAATTACACAGAGCAGAGCGTTTATATAAAAATTTGCACTAGATAATTACGACTAAAATAAAACTAAAGGAGATCCATTCTGCATTACTTATAGATGAACGGTTGGAACTGAAAAAAGAAAATAGAAATAAATAAGTAATTTGTCTCTAGTAAAATTACTGATAATACATCGTTGTAGTTATGTGCTGTTGCAATTATATTATTATTAGGTAATTTTTAATAATCGGTGATTGTGATGAACTTAGGTATTCGTTATTTACATATCTCAAATGTTTGAAATTTCTTGTAGTCTAGCCTCAAAGTAAGCTCTATCTATATACAGGGCGTCCCAGGGGTTGGTCACATGGAGGGAAAGTATGTTAAATATTGAGGATAAGATATTTTACTGAAAGAAGACAATTTTATTTATTATAATAAGTAAGCCATTTTTATTATATAAGTAAAATTTTATTTTTAATAATAATAAGTAAAAACTACATTCACATTTTTTTAAAATCGCCTGCCAAAACCAGGAATCAAACTCGTGAAATGTGAAACAAAAAAGAATGTATTTTATGATAACAGACGAAGGAGTAAATCATGAGGATTACATTTTCCTAAATAACATAGCATTTTAAATAAAAGAAAAAAATGGTTGCCTGTAAAGTCGGTTTTACGGGCGAAGATTTTACGTGACAACGTCTTTTTCTCGGTAGAATATTTATTGATATGAATATAATTAAATTGCACAATAGGAACAAGGAATTGAATGAAAATAAGAATTGCACAAATTTTAACTATAGAAATATATTTTGTTTACTAAAAACATTGTACATGTAAACTTAAACTTAACACGAGAGACTCATCGTAACGTTACCGAGCGTTACACTTTTTCATAAGTGACTCCCAGCCGCAACCTAATTTAAGACGTTGTCACGTCAAAAACACGAATATTGTCATTTTTTTAATAAGTTGAATACAAACTACAATAAAAGAGAAACGGTGCTAGGTTTGTATACATAATTATCGCTTTATTTTATTTTTTCACGTACTTATAGTACGGAAATCCAGTATTATTAAGTGAGCAGGTACTAGTTAGTAAATACTTTGAAATGATAACATTAGCTGTTGGCAGCACGGAAAAGTAAAAAAAGAAATTTTCCTGTACAAAATAATTTCATGAGCTGCCTTTCATTTAAAATGCTAGGTATGTTATTCAGGAAAAAATAATCCTTATGATTAACCCTGTCGATGGTTAACATAATAATACGTCATATTTTTTTTTTAATTTCACGAGTTTGATTCGCAGTCGTAGCAGGCGATTTTAAAATAATGAGTAAATGCAGTTCTAGTTATTATTAAAAATAAAACGATATCTTCTTTCAGTAATGGGTGCCCGCTCCGTGTCCCGCCTAACGCAGCGCACGCTCACAAAGTATATTATTTCTGTGACTTTATACGTTTAGAAGTGTATAATTAACTTTTCTCTATTTTGTTTTTCACCTTCCTATTTTCTTGTATACCTTCTTTTATCTTTACTATCCTTCTATGCTTTCTCCTTCCTTCCTCTACTTCTGCCCGCGCCCCTGGCTGTATCAAATAGCAGCCTCGAGCATGTTAAAATATGAATAAGAATAACTTAGTTATGGGAGAAATTGTGAAATAACTGAACAAAAATAATATGGAAAAATTTAACATACTTTCCCTCCGTGTGACAAACCTGTGGGACGCCCTGTATATTATATGGCTTATGATATAGGATTTAGGGAAATGTATAGAAATATAACGATAGGTAAGTACATAAGAATACGTGTTTATTTCAATAAATTTGTATGTATGTAGCCATGACTATGATGTAAATGCCAGTATTCATCATACAAACACTTGCCCCACCGGGATTCCGACCCTGGACCTCAGAGATATATTTTTATACTACGTATTCGGTCAATTGTGGTCTTTATAGGCACGTATAAATTGACACAAACCACGCTATTACGAAATGATACGGGTGCGGGCTATTTCGTACTGATTTAGGCCAATGTCGCTGGCTGTTATTGCACCTCGTGCATAGTGAATGGAATGTATGCCAAATCGAGAATAATCATTGATTTATTTTCATAGTAATGTAGTCTGTATATTATTGAGTGTTGGTGTATTTGTAGATGGTGAACAGAATGAACTAGGCACTCTCAGGTCTAATTGCAGCAATTTCGCTGAATCTCGTCAAAATCAAAACCAGATTTAGGTCATACAAGCATGTCAAATTGACGTTTGACAATTTTGTATGAGCTAAATCCAGTTAAAGTTAAATCGAGATTTAGGGTCTCAGTTTTTGAAATCTAGATTTATTTGCTTATGGAAATTATACGCAACTGTTAGAGAGCGCTGGCGTGACCCAACTGTATTTGTCGTGCGACTTGACGAACAACAGGGAATCCTATCCTCCTCGATAAGTCGGAAATAGCGACCGAACACACACTAGCCGCCCCCATAACCTCTATCATATGAAACTGCCATATTACCTCTCAGTTCAACCGTTAGAGAGTGTCGGCGTGATGTTTGTCCTGCGCTTTCACGAGTGACCGGAACTCCTCGATTCGCCGGGCGGTAGAACTAGCATTACGGTCGCCCCATACCCTTTATTACCAGAAGTTGCAGCGTAATTGTCGAAATTACCTAACAGTTCAACCGTTCGAGAGCGCTGACGTAGCCGTATGTCGTGAGACTGGCGACCGGAATCGGACCTCGGGCGGGAGAATAAGCGTGATGGTAGCAGCGCTAACCTTTATCACCTCTCTCTCTCTCTCTCTCTCTCTCTCTCTCAGTCCAACTTTCTGAGAGTGCTGGCGTGACCCAGCCGTAGTTGTACGAGCAACAAGGAAGTTTCCTCGATTTGTCGGGAATTGCGGTCAAACGCACGCTAACCGCCCGATAACTTTTTTCATCTGAAGTAGTAATATCGAAATTACCTTTCAGTTCAACCGTCCGAGCGCTGGCGTGACCCAGCCGTATTTGTCGTGCGTTTTGATTAGCGACCGGAACGCGTTCGCGGTTCGCTGCGCCGGGGCGTGTGCCACCTACCCAATACCATTTACCACAAGAAGTTGCTAAGTAGATTGTTGAAATTACCTTTCATTTCAACCGTCCGAGAGAGCTGGCGTGACCCAGCCGTATTTGTCGTGCGTTTTGATCAGCGACCGGAACGCGTCCTCGGTTCGCTGCGCCGGGGCGCGTGCCACCCACCCAATACCACTTACCACTAGAAGTTGCTAAGTAGATTGTTGAAATTACCTTTCAGTTCAACCGTCCAAGAGAGCTGGCGTGACCCAACCGTATTTGTCGTGCGTTTTGATCAGCGACCGGAACGCGTCCTCGGTTCGCTGCGCCGCGCCGGGGCGCGTGCCACCCACCCAATACCATTTACCACAAGAAGTTGCTAAGTAGATTGTTCAAATTACCTTTCAGTTCAACCGTCCGAGAGCGCTGGCGTGACCCAGCCATATTTGTCGTGTGTCTTGACAAGCGACCGGAACGCCTCTTCGGCCCGCCGTCGAGAGAACTCGCGCGACGGCCGCGGCGGGGCGCGCGCCACCCGTCCCTGGCCCTTAACCACGGACGCGGCGAACTGCATCACCACCGCCTCCACGGTGTACGCTGACGCCCAGCCGCGCGGCGTCAGCAGTTCCATGCAAATTGCTCCCCCTGAAAATAGTTTTCAGATTAGACGAGATAAAGAATAATGTTAACACTAACGTATGTCTATTAAGGTTGTTAGTTCTTAGTTTCCTTTTTGGACTGTAAATGACAGTTTTAGTTTGATACATTGGAGAATTTTATTTCCTGTGTAGATAGGACTTAGAATCAAAACCTTAACCCCCTGATTAATAAACGAGGTATAAGCTTAGACTAATTACGCCGTGTTTTGTTCATACCACTCAAATGCCATTTGTCATTCAATTAATGAGACAAAATATGGAGTAACTAATCCAAGCTTATTCTTTGTTTATTAATAAGGGCGTAAAAGTCCAAGAAATTCCAATTTTAAGTATTTTACAAAGTGCATTAGCAAATAAATTAGGAAACAAAAATGTGCTGCTCCAGTTACTCTCACCTCAGCGGCCAGACGCAATCCTCTACCCGTGGAGCCCTGGAACCTAACTCGCTCACAAAATCACAAATCTATTAAAAGGAGGTGTAACTTCATTGCGGTCTTCAGCAGTGCTATGCTGTAAAATTTCCACGCAGTTCCGATATAAATCCGCGTGAAAATTTTACGGAATAGCACTGCAGCAAGGAGATTGCTTTAGCTTAGGAAAATACTATATTTTTCATAACTACGTGTAGTCAGCTAAATATATAATAAATGCCGAGCATCATAAATCACCTTCCATTACGAAACCCTTTTCTATCCGCGGTTCGATGACCCGCATGAAGGGTGGTGCGAAGGGGAAGTTCTCCGGGAAGATGAGGTGCAGCAGGATGTTAGAGATCTGCAGCTCGCGCAGGTCTCCCGCCAGTTCGCTCTCAGGGTCGATCTGGTGCAACCGAACGTGCCACTCGAATAGATTGTCATGAACTAGTTCCACCTGCGAAGTAACAAGAAGAGCATTAGAAGGTACTCTCTCCGACCAATCCAACTGGCTGCTTAATAATTAGCGCCTGCCGCCTATTATTGTCTTATGATACATTGAGTGTGGGTTCGGTGTCAAAACACTTTAAGAGCTTTTTCATTGTTCTTCAACTCATTCCTAGGTTTTGAATCACCAGGCCAACTTTTATATTTCTGATAGTTTTCTTAACCACCATAACAACAAACAACGATATTAAATACCCAGAAAACTAAAGCTTTAATGGAAATTATCATTATTCTCAAAAATGTTACAATTAGTAACTTCTTAAACCCATGGAGGAATGAAAGTGTGCAATAATTTGATGACTGATAGTTTTCAATCAAACCTTGTTAATGGGCTATGATTTGTGAAAATTGAAATAAATTGACATTGGTTGTTTTGGGAGTATGCCCTTTTAAATTGGTCATGAAGCCATCAATTGATATTTACAATGGTGTCGATTCCGGTATGATTCTCTTAGACACTGTTTTATAGTAAATTTTATGGAGAATCCAAATATATATACTTTGTGTAGGGTATTCTTACAAAATAACAGAGAAATCGGCAAAGCAATGCAATCATTCCCACCCCGCGGGGGGCCTCGGTGGGTGGTCGTGCCGTGTAAGGGTTTAGCGGCGTGTGCGCATGGCCGTGGGAAGGGTTAACCTAAACTTAAATTTGACAACATTGTATCCTTGTCATTGTCTATACAGAATGAAAAGGAGAGACTGATGTTAATAGTTATTTATTATACAAGAGTGGAAAGTTCCTTTTTAACCGCGTGCTCGATTTGGATGACCGAGCAAGCGAAGGATTCTAAAGTTGAATCACGAGCGCAGCGAGTGATTCTAAATTAGAATCCTGAGCGTCAGCGAGGGAAACAAACGAGCACAAGGTGAAAAATCTTTCCACTCGAGTGCAATACGTAACTTTTCATCCCACCTCAGCGAGGAAATGACAAAATGAAAAAGAAAACAATTTATAATGACAAAATATTTAAGCAATAAAACGTGAAAAACTAGAATGGCGCGAAGCACGCAAATAAAACAAAGAAACCAAGAAGGTTCCAAATTTAAATTTTTTCACAATTTAAAAAGTTCTAATCATAAATTTGGCACCATAGAGGTTACATTAAATAGGTTTAATGACGTTTTGAATTTACAATTATATTGAGTACTCATTATATGTGATGTTCTAAATTCAAATCTACTTTGCCGCTCAAGCGAATAAAATAGAATTTTCCAGCCAGATTTCGAAGCGCAAAATTACACTTTCCGAGGTGGTGGGATGAAAATTTAGTTTTCAGTTTAGAGAATCACGCCAGGGTCGTCACAAATGTTTAACTTATAAAAGTATTTCTTTGCAAGGCATCAAAAAATTTAGTTTAAAAAAAATATCACAGCATTTTCGCTTTTTTGATTTTCTGGTATGATAATGATTTATTTGATAGTAAAAGTCATGTAGAGAATTTAGAGAATCATTCGTGGGCCGTTGTAACAGGATATCATGACCGCATCCGACGTAAATATTGCAGTGCACGATTATTGTCTGGTTTCAGTAGATAGGGCCGCGCACATTTCTCCTTAGCCCTGAGTTAGAAGAAATGTCCAGGAGAAGTCCTACATACCCCCATTCAAGCATTTTCCAGACCTAAAAAAAGGTTTAAAGATTTCATCCTGAGTTAGGAACATTCTTAATTGAATAAGCATAGCAATACTAACTGTGAATACGGGGTCGGGTCGGCTCTCCTGTAGTCGTTGTATCTCTTTGAGCTCCTTCATGAGTCGCCGCGTGCGCACAGCGGCGGCGCGCTCACGCACCTCGCTGGCAGCCGCGGCCTTCTTCTTACCGCCCGCGGTAGCGCCTGGGCTGGCCGGTAGACTTGCTGTAGCTTCGGCAGGACTCACGCCATCTCTGAAAAATAAAAAGGACAAGTTAAAATATGCTATTTTTGTTATTTAGTATTAGAATCGTGGTTTGTTTTTAACAGGTTTTACAAAAGGTTTTACAATTTTATGTAAAGATTTAAGTTTTCTTTGATTTTAAAATCATAAATTATAAAAGACTAGCAAACCAGTGAACCAAATGTTCACCAAAACCTGATTTAAATGTATTTAATTAATTGAGAACTTCGGAGATTTTGTGTGGTTTCGTTTGAAATTATTTAGTTAAAAAAAAAAATTAACCTTTAAATAGTTAATTAAAATTGTGATAATTACAAAATAGAAATCACGTGATTTCTCGAAAACCGGAAGTGCTACGTTATCAAATCCGGTATGTAGTCTTATCAGACTATTCTTAACTTATAACTTAAATATTCTCTTTATCTATCTCTTACGGTTTGGCCGCTGCAACAGCACCACAGACAGACGGACGGACGGACTTGTCTAATAGATAAGAGATACCTCATACGCACACACTGGGGGCATTGCATGCTAACGCAAACAGTGTTTTAACAGTGGAGAACTTTTCTACCGGTCAACCTGTGCCGTCAAAATGCTTTTGGTGTTGCGTACTCTGCTCATTAGAGATTATGGAAGAAAACCCCACAAAATACATTTCTACGAACGAGTTTGCACTTTTGAACGCACTACAACATCGAACCCAACAACAGCCTGAAAGCATTATAATGTCCTGCACCTTTAGGCGTTTTGCAGACGACGGGGCGGGGCGGGCATTTTGTCCGCGAAGCAATAATAACCGCGTCTGCCCGTCGATGTCTGCGGCTGCCCGCGCCGCGTACACAAAGTACACGACGGGCACAGGCGCTCAGTTCAGGACGTTCGTTCTAGTGAATAGTCCATCACTAAAAAGCGCGTGGCGCGGACTGAGCTGACCGCCCCGCGCCGCCGTCTGCATTACTGCATATAAACTGGTTTGTATGATCCACGGCGGGCAGCCGCGGACATGCCGTGCCGCCACTGCCCGCCGGGCACCTGCGGCGCGGTCTTTTTGCCCTCTGTGTGCGTTTGTTATACATATAGGATTCACTTTGTGCTATCGTTCGCGGCGAAATTGACCAGGACAGGAATTGTTCAGGACGTTCGTTCTAGTGAATAGTCCATCACTAAAAAGCGCGTGGCGCGGACTGAGCTGACCGCCCCGCGCCGCCGTCTGCGTTACAGCATAATAAACTGGTTTGTATGATCCACGGCGGGCAGCCGCGGACATGCCGCGCCGCCAGTGCCCGCCGGGCACCTGCGGCGCGGTCTTTTTGCCCTCTGTGTGCGTTTGTTATATAGGATTCACTTTGTGCTATCGTTCGCGGCGAAATTGACCGGCCCGCCCCGCCCCGTTGTCTGCAAAGCGGCTTAGAATCTCTTCGCATATCTGACCCACACACAGGCTTTACGCGTTGATTAGCTAAACGCTTGAAATTATTTTTTACTTCCTAGTTGAATTCCGAACAAGTGAGAGCGTGCTGCATCGAACTACCAGCACCATACGTTCCCTAATTTATATCTATAGCATCACATTTGTTACCCATTCAGTTGGCTGGGTATTTATATTGATACACTGTCTTTAATTGTGTAATGTTCTAAGTTACTAAGTACTTATTGAGGTACATTTCGTCTCACATTGACAACATAAACTTAATTTATTTGTTCGCGATAACAAGCTTCCGCATAGCGTTCACAAAATCTCCGATTGTCTTATTAGATAAGAAGTGTAGTTATAATTATATAACAACTAGCAAACCAGTGCACCAAATGTTCACCAAAAAAAAAATTTGAGAACTTCGGAGATTTTGTGTGGTTTCGTTTGAAATAGAAATCACGTGATTTCTCGAAAACCGGAAGTGCTACGTTACTCACATCCGGTTTGTAGTCTTATCAGACTATTCTCAACTTATAACTTAAACATTCTCTTTATCTATCTCTTACGGTTTGGCCGCTGAAACAGCACCACGGACGGACGGACGGACGGACTTGTCTAATAGATAAGAGATATTTACCCCGTCGTCCAATATACTTGTTTGTGTTAGCGCTCAAACATTTAACATGTCAAATAAATATTTAAACAATATTTTTACTTAATGTCGTAACCTTTTCTCAGAGCGCACATGGCCACAGATAGAGCGTTGAATTGTGATTTTTATTTAGTTGATCGCGTTAATTATGTTGAGGGGTCATCGAAAAAACAAAAACATTTATTCGACTCCAACTAACTTTATTGACCATTGCCACATTTCTCAAACTTTTTATAAAGAATTTTAAAGAGCAAATCATTTGTAAAACATATTATTATCTTTTTTTATCTTTTAAGCGCCAATTTTTTCCAATAGAAAATTTTCCTCGTGAAGAGGCAGGTTTTCTTTTTAGCAACCACAGCCGTTCGGATTTTGGTTTTACTCTATATAAGTGACAAAATTAGTCCGAATCATTTTAATTTTGGCCATTACCAATCGGTTGTTCGATTCTGATACCAATAGCAGAATAAATAAACTTCGGAACATTTTGAGGGCGGTGTTTATGAATGAAAATGCCCCATTATGCATCATTTACTATTCAAATGAGCGAAACGACCTTAATCAGGTAGAGTAAACACAGCATGAATATTAGTAGGTACCTACCTACCTATACCCATTAAAGCTGATGTCTAACATGAATTACATCTCTTGGTGAAGTTTTAAAAATAAACTGAGATGCAAGCCCGGTTATGTAAAAATAAAAACCACATCAGAAATGCTTGAAAGAAACATCTGTCTGCTAAAACAATGAAACCCAAGAAAATATAAACAAATACTTACTATTATTTTATCACGGGTCGGTTGGTAATTACAATATGGATATCAAACTAAAGGCCTTGAATGAGCACATCCCAAAACTAAGTACTTACTTATATAATTTATATTTAAAAATAAATTTTACATTAGGTAAATCCACAACAGAAACAAACGCGTGAGATAGCATAATTATGGTAAATTCAAAAAGTAATTGTTGTTTAACTAGTGGTCCCTCGACTGACAATAAAATGGCTCAATTACATTTGGTCGTTAGTCCGTATTCGGGTGCAAAGCCATTACTCGAATTTGGGCACCCGAAGCAACTTCACATAAGAATACGGGGTGGAAGACGGTGTAGGGTAACCAAAACGAAAACTACCCGAATACGGGTTTACTCGACTCCGTTCTTTTACAAGTGTAAACTAAGTAGTCGTTTATACCCAAATTCCATTGGCACTCGTATTCGGGCTAACGACCAAATGTAATCGCGCCATAACTTTACTGTTTACAAGAATGCCAAAACGCGTTGGAGGAATGCGTTTAATTGAACCAGATTTGAGTTTTCGTCGTCACGTCTACCCGTTTACGTTTTTTATGCTAAATGGGTGGCAAACAAAACGTATGGTCCGCCTGATGATAAGCGGCCACCATAGACAATAGAAGCTTGCGATTCAAAAAAAAAATCTCGCATCTATGCTTACTGACCCTAGCCGGAGCCCTAGAATCTTACTACAGAAACACAACACCAAAAGGTCGTTATATGTTACTGTAAACTTTTTTAAAGTAGAGGTTACTTCCCCAGACGGGTGCTCCAATTCGAGCGGGAAATCCGCCATGTCGTACCTCTCTTGTAGGTAGGTACTTGTGTATGAAAGGTTAAATTCTTCTGTCCAGTTGCAAAACTTATTAAAATTTATGAAGTACTAGCTGTGCTCCGCGATGTTACCCGCGGTTTATTGGGGATATTTTCCCGCAGTAAAACGTACCCTATGTGTTAATCCAGGGTGTCAGCTAACTCCATACCATTAAAATCGCTCCAGCCGTGAAGAAGTAACAAACATACACACACACAAATTTTCGCCTTTATAATATTAGTGTGAAGTGTGATTAATGGAAATCATATTAATTTGATTGTTAACTTGGTAAGTTATAAATAGGTAAATAAAAGTATGTTTCAATCATTTGATCAAAGCTTTTATCAATCACAAATGTCCTCCTCCTTTCGTTTGACCCTTTTACATTTTGCGGTGCACCATTTGCGGGATATATTTACGGAACTGGGCCGGCCGTTGTTCTCAGTAATTGGAGTATTTAGTTAGAGGTAACTGGGCTAATTAATATCCCGCCCACCGACAACAGTTAAAATCTGTCGAAATAATGTCGATAGCGTATAACTTTAGTAGTTTCTAAACTACAAGTTTGCTAATGGTTCTCAACTGTCATGGTGTTTTTTTATTATTTAAATATTAAACTGCTAGGTATTTTTATCTAATACCTACTCTGTAATTTTACTAAATTAAAAAAAACTTGAGCCAGGAATCAGGTTGGAATCAGCGTCTCATATTCCGGGCGAATTCTCTGACCGGCTATTATGTATAACTTTCTTTAGGTATAAATAAAAATCTAGCAGTCTAGGGACTGTCAAAGATAAAAATGTGAGAAAACCATAGTTGCTATTATTCTACGAATGTTCCATATTTGTAAAAGCATTTCCTTTCACATGTCTGATGCAACCTTAGAAAGATAGTTACACGAAGAAACTTGATTATTTAAAATAAACAGTTCAATTAGCGGATTAGAACAAATATAGGAATTAAAATATAGGAGATTTATTGTGTATTAAATTAAACTACTTCAGCAGAATCAATAATTTCGAAAATGAGATATTATTACTTTTTAAACTTTTATAAAGCTTTGCTGCTGATCTCCGGTTGCCAGGTCAAGAGAATCGATTGATGATCGCTACTTTCAAATTGTATTTAAATACCGAATATATATACTGACGTCAGAGCTTTTCTATACAAAAAATTAGTAAGTACTTGCATACAGTCATTTGGTGAGAAATATAGTGGATACCTGGAAAGTTTTCCGGGAGTTTAGAAAATTGGTAATTTTATAAATTTTGAGGTGCTCTTTCCGAATTTCGACTTTGCCACCTCGTATTTTTGCCACTCGCGCCGCCATATTG